CGATGGCCCGAGAGACGGTCGAGAATCTGATCGATGAACGGCAGCGGAAAATGGTCTTTCTTTGTTACGGCGTTGAGTCGCCGGTAATCAATGCACATTCTCCACCCGGTAGTGATACGGGTGGGGACCATCTCTTTCTTTTCGTTCTCGATGACGGTAATGCCCCCTTTCTTAGGCACCACATGGATCGGGCTGACCCACTCGCTGTCGGCCACTGGATAGATGAGTCCCTCGGAGTAGAGCTTCAGCACCTCCTTCTTCACAACTTCCATCATATTTGGGTTGAGCCGCCGCTGGCTGTCCCGAAATGGCTTGGCACCATCCTCTAAGACGATCCGATACATGCATGTGGAAGGGCTGATGCCTTTTATATCTCCGAGGCTCCACCCAATGGCTTTCTCATACTTCTTTAGCACCTCAATTAGCTCCTTCTCCTCGTCCCAGTTAAGCTCGGCAAAGATGATAACCGGCTTTTGCTTCTCGTCATCTAGGAAGACGTACTTGAGATGGCGGGGAAATTCCTTAAGCTCTAATGCAGGTGGAGTAGGTGCGTGTGGCTCGTCAGCTGCGAAAAGCTCAATGACTGGCTCTTCTTCATCGTCGAAGTCGAGCATTGACCTCTCCTCCAAGTCTCGTATAGTCATTTCTTCCACGAACTGGTCGCTCACATCAACAAAGGCACACTCTTCCACAAAGTTCACCGAGGAGGAGGATATAGCTTCTCGAACTGAAATGGCAACGGACTCGCCCAAAACCGTCATGTTCAATGTCCCGTTCTTCACATCGATGAGGGTGTTGGTGGTGGCCATGAATGGTCTGCCCAGAAGGATTGTGTGATCCTTCCCATTCTCCTGTACGTCCCCCACATCTAGAACAACGAAGTCCACCGGGACGATAAGTTTCCCCACACGAACCAGGACATCCTCGACTACCCCTTTGGGGTATCTGATCGAACGGTCAGCCAGCTGGAGGCACATCTGAGTTGGTCTCAGGTCTCCTAAGCCGAGTCGCTGAAAGATAGAGTATGGCATGAGGTTTATCCCCGCTCCCAGGTCCAGCATCCCTGAAGCTTCCTTTCCGTTTCCAAGGGCTATTTGAATCACGAAGCCCCCGGGGTCTCGCTCTTTCTTCGGAAGTTCATGCTGCATGGCACTCGCAGCCTCGTAAACCACTACCTTCTCTCCGTCTCCAAATTTCCTCTTCTTCGTCACTAAGTCTTTGAAGAACTTCACGTACGAGGGCATAGTCTTGATCACGTCCAGGAGTGGCAGGTTGACGTTGACCTTTGAGAGCATGTTGTAGAGATCTCGGAATTGTTGCTCTTGCTTCTCGTCCCGGAGTCTACTCGGAAAAGGGATGCGTGGCTTGTAAGGATTTGGAGACTTGTGCAACAAAGGACTCTCTGTTGGTTTTCCCGAGTCGGTTTCTGTGCTCTTCGTACTCTCCTCGGTTTCTTCGGGCTGGTCGGTTGGTTTGGAGTCAACAGGCTCGGGCATTCTTATTTTGTTGTCCACTTCTTTTCCGCTCCTCAACACTGTTATGGCCTTTGCTTGCTCGGGCTGGCTCGGAAGTTTCTCTTTGTCTGACTCAGCCTCCATATTCCCGACTCTCGTGGCAAGCTGACCCACTTGCGTCTTGAGACGCTTAATAGATGAGTCCTGGTTTGTGATAAACTGAAGGATCTTGTCCAGCTTGTCATCTTGATTTGACGAGCTTGAACCGGACCCTTGGACTTGCTGTTGTGGTTGCTGTTGTTGTTGGTAGCTCGGACAGGGGATGAAGTTGGGACGGTTTTGCTGTTGCATGAAGTTTGGGCGGGGCTGCTGTTGGTTGAAGTTCGGACGAGGTGGCTGGAGAGTATTGTTGTTGTTGGACCACGAGAAATTTGGGTGATTTCTCCACCCGGGATTGTACGTGTTGGAATAGGGGTCATTGGGCTGCCGGTTCTGATAACCTTGGAGGGCATTGACATCTGCATACTGTTCTCCTACCTCCTGGTCAAACGCCGATGGGCACACCTCGGATCTATGCCCCTAAACTCCACATGCTCCGCATGTGTCTACTGCCATGGCGTGCACTGACTGGCCTCCTCGTGCATTCATTAGCCGCATTTGCTCTGTGAGTTCGGCTATTTGCTGGGCCATCATATCTTGAGCAGAAGATACCTCGTTGACCACGACCCTCTTCCCTCGATTGCTCTTTTGAGACGAATTAGCACTCATCGTCTCAAAGATCTCATACATCTCTTCGGCCGTCTTCGCACCGATGGCTCCCCCCGCAGCGTTGTCAACCATGTATTGCAAATTCTGGTTGAGGGAGTCGTAGAAGCAATTCATTAGTAGTCCCGGTGAAAGATTGTGGTGGGGACACTATCGCTGGAGATCCTTGAATCGCTCCCAGGCCTCGTGAAGAGGCTCACTCGGTAGTTGGGCAAACGAGACGATCTGTGACCGGAGCTCCTGAGTCTTCTGATGGGAGTAGTACCTCCCAATGAACTTAGTATAAACCTCGGTCCAGGTAGTCAGAGATGCCGGTGCAAGTGTCATGAACCAGGCCTTGGCCCGGTCTTTCAATGTCTGGGGGAAGCACCTCATCTTCAACTGATCCTCATTCAGCCCGTTCAGTGGAAAGGTGTTGAGGACATTGTAGAATTCCCGGATGAAGTTAAGCGGGTCTTCGCTCGGGAGCCCATGGAATGTCGGCAGCTGGTTATAGTGAATCATTTTTAGCTCATAATTTCGTGCGGGTTCTGGTAAACAGATACACGAAGTGACTGGCCCGATAACCGGCTGAGCCAATGTTCGGAGGGTGTTACGAGGCGGTTGTTGCTGTTGTTCATCCATGTTGACGTTACTGCCCTCTGACGATTTCGTGGAGTGCTCGTCTCTTTCGTTAGATTCGAGAGTAAGCTCTTCCAGCAGCTCCCTCAGGCTCTCGTTCACTGATTTGTTGATCGGAGATAGTAATTTGCGTCCACTCCTGGTACGCATACACTAAGACCAACAAGGGTTACGAGCACCAATGATAGGAAAAAGAAAATAAAAATAAAAATACACAAGAACTAACGCCTAACAAATAAAAAGAAATCAAGAGAAACACGGAAACAAGAAAAATCACAAGAAATAAGAGAAACACGAAAAACAATATGAATAGGCGCACAATTATAATCCTAAACCTTCCCCGGCAACGGCGCCATTTTGTTGTAATAATTTTAACCGGAGTAGAATCGAAAGATTCGTTCCGCGGGTCGTATCGCAAGGAAGGTTAGCCGGATATAGTTGTTCGATTATTCAATCACAAAAGAAGATAAAAATCCTAAACAATCTAATTCAATGATTTGGGTTTCGATTATCAACTACCAACTTTAAATTAAATAAAGCACGAAATGAACAGTAACGAATTAACTGAGAATTTAAAGAGCTAGAGAATCGGGGACAACTGCTTTCGGTTCTTACACAACTACCGGCAATCAATTGCTCGGTTAAAGGAAGTGAGTCGTCTCTCGTTTAGAGATTCACTCTCAATAACTCTTCGTAACAAGAGAGTGAACATATACGATTGACTATCAAATCCAGCAACTCATAGACAATACTTTGACGAACAAGTCTATTCTAAACGAGCCTAAATCGACCAATGTCTCCCCTTCCGGTTCTAAACAATGATTAGCTAGGTTATATAGGTGATCAATCTATTAACCCTAAATTGAACTCAACTCGCATAGATATGAACAATTAAGAACAAGCAATTATAATTGAACCTAATCAATTATCCCCTATCCCTAGCAGATGGATTTAGCTACTCATATTAGATTTGATCACACAAACATTCATAACCCAAGACATCATCATCAATGAAAGAATTGAAGAAAAATACTTACGATTAATGAAAATTCTGAACTCAATCCAATAGTATCCGAATCCAAAGCAAGATAGTAGAGGTTTTTAATCTCCTAAAACAATTCAAAAGTGCGAAAGAAAGAAAAGGAATGGTTTTTTCTCCAGAGGGAACGTAAAAATAGAGTTTGAATGGTGAATGCTAAACCTAGGATCAAAAACAGCATTAAAATCCCGCTCCTCGAAAAACACGCCGATTAAGTCGCGACTCGCGACTTGAGTCGCGAGTCGCGAGATGACCTTTGTCTTGGTCGCGAGTCGCGACTTCCTCGCGAGTCGCGCGTCGTCTTCTTCTTTAAATTCAGGGGCTTGGTCGCGACCTGACTCGCGAGTCGCGACCTTGACTCGCGAGTCGCGACTCGTTCTTCGGAAATCTCCTTTAGCCTCAGTTTTCCCCGCGAGGCGCGACACATTCGCGAGTCGCGACACCACTCGCGAGTCGCGACACCACTCGCGAGTCGCGAGACGACTCGCGAGTCGCGACTCATTCTGCGCATTGTTTCTGTCCGTTATTCGGTCCTCTTCGTCGTTTTCTTGGCTCGGCCAATGGGAATTCTCGATATCCTGGTCTCGGCTCAAGCAGTTCCATCCTCGACCGACACAACCTACCTCCTGAAAACACAAATACAGAAAAACACGAAGCAAAACACGGCAAAAAGATACAAAAATATAAATCAAAGACAAAAACACAAAACGAACGAAATGGACCAAATAAACTACAAAAAACCTACAAATGGGGGAAAACAAAAAGAAAATAAACATGAAATAAAGACACAAAAATGGGACAAACACAACTTACTATTACATATTCCAAATTTCCAATCCACCAAGATATCATACTTTTTCCTTTTTTTTTTCCCCCTTTTTTCCACATGATGACACTTCCATTCAAGACAGATACGACATAACCCAACCCCAAAGGGTGGATTAACAGCTTTGGCTTTACAAGCTTACCAAGGTACAGAGAAACTCAGCCCTCAGCCTATAAGCACAGTTCTACTAGTAATCACAAAACACCATCCAAACCAATAACTTAAAAGAGAAGATTTAAGCTTTACAAAAGCCTAGCAAGCTAAATATACAGAAAACATAAATAGACACAATATAGCTGCATCTTCACAAATTAACGAGCAGTCATACAGAACCGCACAAATGAACACCTAATAGCAAAGCCCTCAGGCCCTAACACCGCAAAATAGATTCGGTCCATAAGTTCGCATTAAAATCAAGTCATGGGGTTCCATGTCTAGAAAATTACATGCATAATTTATATCAAATCATCTACATGCATAATAAATTAGCTACCAAGCAAATTCAGGAGCAAAATAACTAAGTACACGAAGCTAGTTCAGCTACCACGACAAGAGTTATTACGTACAAACCGAAACCAAAACCAGGATAGAATTTGATATATACCTTCTGGAATCAAAAGCAGGACGAAACTAGATATGTAATAGCCAAAACGAAATGCAGGGCAAATGGAACTTGATATATACGAGCCAAAACCCAAAGCAGGGACAGAGCTTGATGCATACATACAAGCCCAAATAAAAAGCAGTCGCCCTTCAGAGCAGTAGCTTGAATCCAGTCGATAGAAAATCATCCCTGTAAAAACATTAGGAAACAAACCATTTGAACTCACACAAGGTAGCCTGACAGTACAAATTAGCAAAATAAAACTGCATGAGAACTAGATCAATTCAGGGGCTATCCATGCAGATACAAGGCAAGTATTAGCAAACCTTAAAAGGAACAAACAAAAACCATAACAACTAACCACACAAATGAAAGCCAAACAAATGATAAGGATAAATTAGCCAAATTTCAGCACTTAACCTCTTCTTTTTAATCTCTTTCCCCTTCTTGCCCTGCACACCGTTCTTCTTTCCACCCCCAACTCCACCAGGACCAAAAGGCGAAACAAGGCTCCCGACACACTCCCGAGCATCTATCACAGGGTCATTGGCCGAGGCACGGAGAGAAGCACTCATACCATCGACAAAAGCAATCGTAACGGCTTTTGTCCTCAAATCAAACCAATTCAGACAAAGTCCTTTGTAATTGAACAGAACCTTGCCACCGTCCTTTGAATAAGCCACCGGGTACAGATTCCGGCAAGGTTGGGCAACAGGCGAATCAAAGCAGAGTAGTTTGACCCAGGACTCCATCACCCCGTACTCCTTCATCACCCAAATCTCGATAGTGTTCATCTTCCCAAAGACAACTGCTGCCAGGCACCCTCCCAGCACCTCCACCGTCACCATGCCGCTAAATTCCGGCATTGGGACATCATAATGTTCTTCTTTAGCTAGATCAAACGCCATTATCACAGGAAAGGAGGAGTCCAAACAGTGAAAGCCAGGGTCATTCAGATAGACGCCCCATGAACAGAGAGGATCCATCGACTTTCTTCCAGGAATTCGAATTGACGCTGTAAATAGTAGTATCAAATAACTCTTACTCCCCATCCTCCAGCAACTTGTAATCCGGGACCACCCGTACGACTTTGTAGTCATCATGCTTCGAGTCGTAGCCCAGGGCGTATTGGGCTGGCCAATGACTGAACGCGGGCGACGGCGGCAGTTTGTTGAGTTTTCTCGTTGAAGGATTCCAGAGGGCGACCTCGTCGGAGTGTGACACGAGGAGGACCAGACCGTTGCAGGAGCAGAGGGCGTTCCGCGGCTTGAATCGGATGTTTCCGGCGTCTAATAGCTCGAAGAAGTCCAGATCTACGCAGAAAAGCTCGTTCGATCGCACTATAAGGGCGCGATTGGAGTTGGTCTCGGCTGAGAGGCGCAGATGGAGTTTGATGAAATCGCGGCAGTCGATCAGAGAGCGCCATGGCTTGGAGACACGGCGAAAACGCAGAAGAGATTTCACTGGGAGACGGCTGAGGATGATGGTGATGATTTCCGGAGGTACGTCGGACATTCTGAAAATGGAGCTTTTTTTTCTCTCGGAAAATGGTGCGAGAAGTTATGGCGGGGGTTTCAGGATTTTTCTGCTTTGGGATTTTGGGATACTTGTCTCCAAAAAGCGAGCACTCGATTTACGCTTGAAAATGATTGAAGCCCGCCAACATATCCACGTTCATTATTTTGGGATTTTGGGGAAAACGATACATTTGTTAACCTACTGTACAATTAAGTTGACAATACAAGTAAAAGTATCTAAAAAAATAAAAATAAAAAATACACAAGTGGATGTTTTCACTTGTGTTGTCAACCTAGTTGTAAACTAGGTTGTTAATATAGCATTTCCTTTTATTTTGTGTGGGTGTGCGTGTGTTTATTTATTTATTTTTAGTGATAGACTTGATAAATAAGAACATATATTTACACATTAGAAAATAGCCTAACAAGTCGAATAAATTAGCTACCAAATTGAATCTAGTTAGATGTATACACCAATATCTCCAATGCTCTAAAATGGTTATAGAATAAATTATGACAAGTGTCAATAAATTAAATAGATTGTGAACAATGTATGAAAAATGTTAAGTTCACAACTATAAAATTTAAAAATCATCTCCAATGCACAATGTAGTCGAGCTATAATATATCTACTTACCAAATATTAGAATTTTAATAAGAAGTAAAATAAATTAATTAAATAATCAAATAGCTTGAAAATGGTAAGAATGTTTCTCTCTCTTCTCTTCATTGGCAAGTTAGAATGTGGAGAACTGTACATTGTAGACATTAATTATGTTCACATCACCACAACATTTGTATTCACATTGTACATTGAAGGATGGAAAGTTTTGATATTACTAAATGTGTTGATGTGGCATGACCACAACAACGTTTGAGCATTGAAGATGCTCTTAGAACCCAACAAAACACTAAACAAAACACATTAAAAAACTAAAAACTCCTATTGAGAACAAAGGCTCCAAAAGGAGAATAAGAACACTGAAACACACAAACAAAACAAGAAAAATAACTTAATAGATAGAATAAAGCCTTCTCCACCCATTGTTAAGCCCATCCTAACCACATCCACACGAGCAAAAAATCCAAGGTGAACAACCAAGGAGTTCCAACCCATGGCCGATAAACAGAAACTAAAAACTCCCCTAACGGCTAACTAGTTCCGGACCAACAGACCAAAAACCCACTCAAATATTCACCATCGGTCAGAAACTAGAAGACCCGCGCCCAGTTGTATTTTTTTATTTTTAAATGTATGTAACTGGAGGTACACAAGACGTTAGTGCCGAATGAGGAAGTGACTGCCCAGTTGGCCTTCAGGAATGTGAATATTGAAGGTCATCCACTTGTGCGACAAGCTAATCTGGTTGCCTTCACCATACACATGACTCATCAGCCGCCACTGTACTTTTGAGGAAGCGAGCTTGAATTGTCGGTGAAGTGGTGCCGCGGGAAGAGGTGAGGCTGGGTGTAGAGAGATCATTGCATGAAGAGGAGGTTAGGATTATCATTCAACAGTACTTGGCTTGCAGACGGGCTTAAGTGGCTTCAATCATTCAACAGGAGATTAGGAATATCATTCCATAAGAGTTAGTATTTCTGGCGGAGCCATCTCCCCGACAATGGACCCCCACCCCCTTCTCCCCTCTCCAACAACCACTCCTCAACACCACCGAGTGCCCCTCCTCCCCTCCCCAACAGCTGCCCCCAACACCACCGAGAGCTCTACCCCCTTCTCGACACGTATCTCTGTATAGGGTCCTTCCAGTTTTCCCACATGCTTAAGTGCAGCTCTTCTCAAAACTAGGTCGTCGACCTGAAAACACCGAACCCAAATTTTTTTGTCAAAGGTAACTCGACACGTATCTCCTCCCCTCCCCAACAGCTGCCCCCAACACCACCGAGAGCTCTACCCCCTTCTCGACACGTATCTTTGTATAGGGTCCTTCCAGTTTTCCCACATGCTTAAGTGCAGCTCTTCTCAAAACTAGGTCGTCGACCTGAAAACACCGAACCCAAATTTTTTTGTTAAAGGTAACTCGCATCTTCCCCTTGTATTATGCAACTCGCACTAGGGATTCCTCATGTACCTCGTTCACTAGGTTTAGGGCCTCTTCCGCTAACTTTTCATTCTTGCAACTGTCAAAATACATCACTCGGAGTGAGTTGACTTTGATTTCTACTTGTAACAGAACATTCATTCTAGAAACCAAGCTAAAGAGTGATTGGCCAACCAAGCTTCTAGGAGTTTTTATGTAGACCCGTAGGATGGAGGTCAGCTCGTTGACCCAGCCCCAGACGCTCGCTTTAATCTCTTTGCGAGTCCTTGAAAAATTGTCACGTTGGGGACCTCGACTTGTCCGTTGGCTTGCGGGTATGCAACTGATGCAAAACGTTGTTCTGTCCCCATTTCCTAAATCAAGTTTGCACCCTATTTTCCTGCAATTGCATTCCATTTTCTAAAATAAGAACTTTTAAAATTCTGCATCGATAACAAATATTATTAAACTAAAAGTGTATCATTTTTTCTAAGTAATGCGAGTTAAGGGCTCTGCCTCGACCAATTTGCTGAAGTAATCAACTACAGCAACCAGAGAATTCCTTTGTCCCGACCCAGCTGGCAAGGGACCTACTAGGTCTATCACCTACTGTGAAAAGGGGATTGGAGTGTTGATGGTGGTCATTGCCTCAGCTGGTAGAGGCATAACTTGTCCGTGTTTCTAGCATCTCTCTCATCAATGTACGAGCTCTGTGGCCTTAGCCTGCATTTTTTTCCTATAGTATCCAACTCTTGATGCCTTTCCAGCGATAGCTCGCGCCCCCGCATGAGCTCCGCAACACCCTTCATGAATCACTTTTAAGACATAATATCTTTTATCTATGACCGGAACACTATGGCATAGCTTTGAAGAAAAAGTGAGGTCCAACATATGAGCTTTTATAAAGAACTCTTCCATCTCAAAAAAATTTCAACAGGTGTCTAGCTATGCGTTCTGCTTGTTGTTTGTCACCTTCAAACACTTTCCCTTATAGCATTTCCCTAATCAGAGCTCGCCAGTCCTCATTTTCCTCAGTACCTCTCCAATCGAGCCATGTTCTTGCCTCAAATTTGCAATGTTTTTGCTCTTGAACTCTTCGTTCGATCTAGCTATGCGAGATAATAAGTTAGCTCGAGCATTTTCTTTTCTTGGTATCTGGATAAGCTCAAAGTTACTCAAGCCTTGCATTAATCTTTGTACTTCTTCTTCGTACTTCCTCATCCTCTCCTATTTCACCTCGCACTGCCCCAACACGTGGCTAACTACGAGCTGCAAATTTGAGTGCGCAACTAGCTCACTGACCCCTCCACAGATAGCGAGCTAAATCCCTTTTATTAGGGCCTCGTAGTTAGACCAACCACTTTTTCCTTTTCCTCTTGTACATTATTGGATAAAGTCAGGAAACTCTTGTGCTTTAGTAATTTGTCTCGGCTCATATTCAATTACATACTTCAGGAGGACATCTATATGCAGCAACTAGAGGGATTCATTGCTGAGGGACATGACCATCTAGTGTGTAAGCTTAATCAGTCTATTTATGGACTGAAGAAAGTTTCGAGATCTTGGAATATCCATTTGATGAGGTGATCCAGTCGTACTGGTTCACTCAATGTCTAGATGAGCACTGTGTACAAGAAAATCAGTGGGAGCGTGGTGGTGTTTTTTGTGCTTTACGTAGATGGCATACTTCTTATTGGAAACAGTAAGAAGTTTTTCCAATAAGAAGGAGATATCAGACGTAAAGGTATAGTTGTCTAAGCAGTTTGATATGAAAGACTTAGGTGAAGCATGACACATTCTTGGTATTAGGGTCGTTCAAGACCGTAAGAAGAGAATGTTGTTCTTATTCCAGTCTACATACATAGATATTGTCTTGGCTAGATTCAGCATGCAGGATTCCAAGAAAGGTATGTTACCTTTCGGATATGAAATAGGTCTATCCAAAGATATGTCTCCTAAGACGTCTCAAGAGATAAAAGACATGAAGACAGTTCCTTATGCTTCGGCAGTAGGAAGTCTTATGTATGTTATGTTGTGTACGAGGCCGGATATTAGCTACGCCGTCAGCATGGTAGCTAGATATCAAAGTAATCCGGGACGGAAACACTGGTCTGCGGTGAAACATGTACTCAAGTACCTGAAGAGGACTAAGGAGTACATGTTAGTTGTCGTGCAGACAACTTGTTACCGCTGGGTTACAGCGATTCTGATTTCCAGTCAGACAGGGATGAGAGTAAGTCAACCTCAGGTTATGTGTTTACCTTGGGAGGTGGAGCCATTTCATGGACGAGTGCTTAGCAGAAATACGTGGCAGACTCCACCATGGAAGCCAAGTACATAGCAGCCTCAGAGGCAGCGAAAGAGGCAGTTTGGCTCAGAAACTTCTTAGTAGATTTAGAGGTAATTTCGAGTTTGCCACGTTGTATCACTGTGTACTGTGATAACAGTAAAGCAGTAGCAAACTCAAGGGAACCACGAGCCCACAGAGAAAGCAAATACATAGACCGCAAATACCATCTGATACGAGATATCGTTGGTAGAGGAGACGTTGATGTTGCCAAGATTGTATCAGATGACAACCTAGCTGATTCTTTCACGAAGAGTTTACCGTGGAAGGTCTTCGTCAAACACGTTGAAGGAATGGGAGTCAGGTGTATAGCAATAGGATCGACATAGGTCTTTTAGAATAACGGATTAATAGGACTATACTTGTAAAAGCAAAAGTTTTAAGTATAAGTGGGAGATTGTTAATTGGCTTTGGATGATATTACACTTTTTCCCTTTATGAATGAGAATCATGTTCGATTAAACAAATTCTATGTTCTGTTGTTTTGCACTTAGATAGAATGGGTCATCATCGGGTGAACAGAAGATCATTCTATCAGTCACTTGCGAAACAAGAATTTGTGGTTCACAACCTAGATGGAAATGAACACCCCATCAGAACGTATTATCAACGGTACAGTTGGTCTTGACTGATTAGTTGTACTAGTACATTAATGTATTGAACAGGATCCCAGAGAGGAGAAGTTCATTTTATACTGATCGTCGTAAACGAACTAGGCCTCGGTTAATTACTGCGTTCTCTTAACACGTAAGATATTAAACAGACATATATATGCAGTACATATTACTTTGATTCACTTAGGTGAGGTTCAGTTCGCTGGATTAATATTCCTACTGTCTTGATGATGTCCCCGAAGTGAGTTCATGAAGGATTGTTATGCTAAACCCTGCAGGTGGATTAAGTTCTGGCATAATAATAATGTGATGGATGAGCGCTAGCTTTGGTAATATAATATATTACTAAATTCTTGATTGTCAGTAATCGAATTAATTAATGGACATTATATCTTAAACATGGGGAGATAATTCAGGTAATTACTATTAGAATTTCAAATGTAATTTGGGATAGGAAAAAGGAGTGCAATAATATTATGTTAGTGGACCGTAATATTATTTAAGTAATTGGAGGAGTGGGACTGGCCCATAGTTAGTCAATTACTTAAGAAGCCCTATTCCTATTCTCTAAGGATCCATACTGTAGCTCTATATATGCATCATTAAGCTCATGGAATAGACATAAAAGAGAACAGAAAAGTCCAAATGTGTATCACGCACGCCGACTCGCCCTATCTCTCTCTTCTCTCTCTAGAATTCCATTCGAGCTTTATCTTCTTCTTGTTGTTCTACCAGGACAAGTTGAAGAGGTGTAAGAGTGATACAGTAGAAAATTCCGAAGGTAATTGAGACATCGAGATCATCTATAGGAGTCGACGAACCTCGACCCGAAGGCCGAGATCGACCGACCCCAGCCCGCCGGACGACCGCCGTGACGAGCCGAAGCACCGCCGCGACCGGCCACCCCGCGCGACACGACCAGCGGCCACCCTATCGCATGCCAACCCGACGCCGGATGATCCCCACCATCTGTTCGTGATCCCGGCGATCCTCTGACGTGCCCGATCATCCCGAATCCGACAGATTCAGAAAATATTAAGCCGTAAGTTTTCTACGTCAAACATTTAGATCCGCTACGCATAGGTTTATGTTTGCTATTGAATTCGTAACTTGTACATAACGAGATCCTCATAGATCCCAACAATGCAACCCATCAAGGCTTGTATTTCGCGACTATTCCTTGGGGATCCATGTCAAGAACAACTTTAATTTTGTCGTGGTTAACCTCAATAACCCTCTCTATGACTATGTAATCGAAAATCTGTCTAGCTTTAATTTCGAAAGCGCAATTGGACGGGATTAGCTTCATTCCAAACTTTCTCAGGGCGTCTGACGGCTCCCTTAGGTCAATTGGATGATCTCTTCACAAGAATATCATCTACATTTTTCTTGAATTTATCAAAATGTCACTGCCCTACAGAATGTATAATACTGTATTTTGTGAAATGACATAAATTCATCGCATAAAAATCAAGAGTACTCGTAATTATCGCCATTTAACCAAAACTGGAGCATTTGAATGTAAAGCATTGTTATATCACATCAAACAGCTATAATTTATTCTTATTTATTTCGTTATCACACATTTTCTCATCATACTCCGTGTAGACTACAATATTAGATTTATGTGCATAGATAGTTTATAAAATTTGTACAGTGAATCACGTCACATAATACGTGCCTGCATCGTTCTTTCCAAAAAGCCCTTCCGACAAAAGGGAAGAGTAGGCATTGCAAAATTTTATGTCTCATGACAGAAAACACGAGATTTTTACCTCTTATTTTCCTGAAACAAGAGCTTACTACAGAAAATTATTGAATTGTGTCAATTTTATAAATTATGAGTACTACTAATATTTGCAATTACCTTAAGAAGCAATTCGTAAACCAGAACATATATCAACATGGATTTTATGCCCAAAACATAACTGGAGATGTTTTCTTTTCTAATTAAGACCTAACCTCAGTACTTTTCCCAGTAATACACCCTCTAATCTATATCCAGAAATATCAACCAGCAGCACAATCAATTCTTAAAATGATCATATTAAAGTTGACATTCAACACAATCTGCAACACACTATCAAAATTTAACTTCCTTAAAAAAAATGAGTGCACCACAAAAATGAAAAAATGCGGTAATGTAGTTCGAAGGGGATTCCAAAGCTGTATATATAATTGTAAAACCACACGATCAGCTTCTCCTAACCACTTTTTATAGGCAGAAGAACACATAACTTCCCCACCCTACTTATCAACAATCAAAACACACACAACTTCCCCACCCCACTTGTCAACAATCAATGTTACAAAATCTTGGAGATCAAAAGGAAGGTTCTCCTCCTTAATCCACCTTCCTCAAAGCCCACTGATATGAAGTGAATAAAAGTACTAGATTTAACCATTCCAAAGATGACCATTCTCTAACAATCTAGGAACTTAACAGTGATGTTAGCCTAATACATTTTTTAAGGACAAAAAGGGTTAAATAAATTGGCAGCAGATTTTAGAATCAGATAAAGAGCACAAACAGGTCATTTGTTCTTGGCTTGACTAACAGGGAATTTTTCTTCTGGCTGCTTTTGCCACATGTAGTTGGAGGCCTCAATCCAACGTGGGTGAACCAGGTGTTTCTTCTCCTTCACTGCCCAACGAGATTTATCTGTTCCTGCATCAACTGAGACCACATGCGTAACAGATGGGTCCACCTCAATAGAGCAAGTGGCTCCTAGTTGCTCGGCCATTTTCCACAAAGAATGGTGCTCGGCTGGGAAATTAGTTGGGAAAACACGGCTAAAAACCACTTTACATCCCCTTAAAACTTCATTCCGAACTGATTTCAGCACCTGCCCCATGTACAGAAACACGAATGATAAGCATGGAAAAAAAAAAAATGGTCACCTTGTCTTTGAGAAGGCAGAATATAAAATGTCGACAATTGGAAATGGAGTAAAATGATTGGGAATTGAATTCGTGAACAAAAACTTTGGATTGTTTACTTGAAGTAAAATCGACAGCCTGTTAGGGCTTTCGAACTGATATGTGGCAATTCTATTTATCCTACACAGCTATTCACCCAGATACACAATAACTGCACATAGATACCTGTCTCACGTCTCGATCCTCTAGGTCGTCCTTGGATTTCTGAATCAAAAGACATATTGACAGTCAGGTTGGAAAAAAAAAAAAAGAAAAAAAAAATTAGGTTTTAATACTTTGAGAGTGGAGACGAGATGATACCTCGTCAAAGAATAAACCATGGACCCGCTGAAGAATTTTAAGAATAGTGGCTAGAGCTCCTTCTGTTTCACTTTCATCACTTTTTAGCTCAGAAAGCGATTTACAGTTGAAGCCAAAGTGCTTGCAACTCGAGGCGAAGAAGTGATATCTCTCCATTAATATTAAATTCTCCTTGTGCTTTGCCCACACCTGATAAATAATAAAGGTAATATTATTCACAAATCTCGTCATGAAGATTACTAACTTTAAAAATTCTACTGTAACACATTCATAATTTATAAGTAATATTAAACTATCACCTGGACAGGAAAAACATAAACATATGGATAGTTTAAAGTCTCTAAACTGGTTTACCATTGATTTTTTTTTTTTTTTNTTCTATGGAAGTATATATTTATGTCATTATTCTAAAGTGATTACGATTAAGGGAAAAACTTTGAGACGGTGAATAGTAAATGAGCATAATTCAAGATATGGTCAATTTTGCATTATTGGAGGCAGAACTAAGTGAAGTACCGCTTCTGTATCATCAAGGATGATGACTGCACTTTCTTGCCCCAAAACAACATCAAGACCCTTTTGAAACCTCTGTGTGCAATCACCTTGCGCGATAATTCTGGAACTAAAGTAAATATTCCGTGGGTCGAGCAGCCTAGCCATTTCCAAAGCGTATGGACGCTCACCCATTGTGTATATGTACATCTCAAACAAATTACTCGCCTCATTCAGGAATTTGTGCACAAATGGCCTCAACTTGGTCATCATATGCATCCAGTTAAGTCTGAATAGGCTGCTCTTTAGGGCATCTGTTTTTTTAACAAATTGTAATCAAGTCCAAGAAATTACAATAAAGTCCAAAGCCGTAAAGTTTATTTGGTCTACATTGAAGAAAGGTGAAGAAATGTTAAGGGGAAAAGAAATAGTGTCAGTTCCCAGCAGATGTAAAATACAACGGACGCTTGTAAGTTATCTTTAAAATTGGAAATGTGTTATCTCAAGCAAAAATAATCATAGTACTCCCTGGAACACTTTGTATTCCATTTAGGATAATATACTGAACTAATATGTCAAAGATCTTTCACTGCAAGCAAAAATATTATTAAAATTTCATGGAGCATTTACATTCCATTTAAGGAGGGTAAAGTTATGATAAAGGACTACAGAAGATGATGATGCATAAAAAGACTCATATTACTTGAATAACAAAGGATACAGAACATCAAATTGATCATACGATGCATGATATGCAGAAAAAATATTTCCAAAGGACAAAAGCATCACATAGTGAAGCAAAACAGGCAGCGCAAGCACAAAACCAGTTACAATTATGATTAAAATATTAATTCAAATTACATGAGTTCTCTAACGAGCTTGCAGAACCCTCCAACGAGACTGTTTGCAGGCTTACTAACAGAATATCATTAAGCTTAAGTCTGATCATTTATTTTAACAAGCCTTATCAAATGAAATTATCGAGTCATGTTTCTAATTGTTCACCAATGGCTTAGTTCACTTACAACTCAATAAACAGGCATATGAATTTCCATGGTACCAAAGCTCAGAGCCATCATTTTCACGTCTCCAATGATATCTCCAATCAGCTTAATTGTAAGTCATTTGTCCCTAGTGCTCAGCTAAATGGTATAATTGGCAACTGGGATAGGAGTGACAGTGACGACCCTATTAAGCCTTGTGGTTCACTTACAACTTACAACAACGGAGCTGATTACATATCTATTTAGGTGAACAAAACCGAAGAATATTGGAAACACAAGTATAAAAGCTCAATAGGTAATCTAGCAAAGTCAATTACAATAAGTATCTAGATTCACATTTTCGAATTATCAGAGTGCATTGATAAAAAAACTACTCATGCGAGTATCCCATGAGTATCTAGATTCACATTTCCCAATACACAAGAAACAACGTCCAGTAGGATGACGACCATAAAAAAACTACTTCACAATTCACCTAAGTACATAGAGTATCCCATGAGTATCTCATGTGTTCCCTAGATGTCCTCACATCCACAAAACAATGTTGAATTATTTTATTTATTTACTTATTAAATTAATTGTATGGCGGGACGGGAAACCAGCTCTGTCCTCAAAGATTTATATGTCCCGAACTTAGGGATAGTGATGTTGGTGCTCATTCTTGCATGGCTTTCATATTCAATAAATATTAAAGATTATTGAAGCATAAAAATGAGAAGGAAAAAATAATGTAAACATACTGAAGAAATTCCAGATCAAAAATCAAGGAAGTTTCCCCTGGACCCAACCAATTAACATAGCTGACAAGGAATTACCTGGAAAAGTATCTCCTTGACTATTTAAATATCCTTCTTCCAAAGTAATATCAGAAAAACGGGCCGAATTGAGCAGCGTATGATCCAAATCAAGAACCAAATAGAGTTTTTTATTGCGTAGCAAGTTCTTCAAGTCTCTGCCTCGTACTCGGGCCATCTCATCATTGGAAAGCCTCAAATCCTGCATGCAGGATGCCTTAATAATACATAATTTTTTTCAAGTTCAACTGCAAGACAGCAAAGGAAAGCTGGATATCCAATTTTTTATGCATTGCTCATAAATCTCAAACCTCAAACGATGCTACACGAATGGAAACATGTCAGGAAAAAAAATTACATGTCTTAGACACATCTTCATTTCTCATCCTAACAGATGTCTTGTTACTCCAGTGATTAAAAAGGCGTCGTTATGGCGTAAAGCGAAGCGTGGCGCCCCTTGGGTGCCTCGGGCACATGTGGCGAGGCGACCTTGCAGAAGGCGTCACCAACGCGAGCGCCTTATGTGTGTCGACCAAAGTCGAGGCGTGCGCCAAAGCGAGCAGCAACAATTTGACAAATTAGGGTTTACGGGCTTAAGCTACCTTTTGTTACACATATTAGATCCAACAAACAGATACGTGCCTTTCCCTTNTGACTTTCGCTCCCTTTTTTGTGTAAAGCTTTTCACCTTCCGTTTTCATTTTTATATTGCGTGGCTGCTTCACTTGTTTTTCGGTGATGGATCCTATCGGATCTGCTTCACTTGTTTTTTATCTTTTTATCTAGAAAAACCAGGAAAAAAAAAATATATGCTGCCACATTTATCTAAAATATATTAGAGATGTTTTAGAAGAAGAAAACGTAAATGTTTTCAGCACCTGCCTAATAAGCATTTGTAAGCATTGTAGTAGCTGCAGACAGCCCTCAAATACCTTCTTTTTTTTTCATTTAACAAAAAAATATATTAACTGGAATGATGTTCTTACTTTTATTTTTATGTTGGATTAATTTAATTTTGATGTAGGATTTTTTTTATGTGTAGCCTTATTATATGTTTTTGCATACATAACTATGACATAATTGGTGAATATATGATATATCTCGATTTTTGTATAATGGCTCGCCTTGCTTCAATAAGGCGAGCACCACGCCTCACGCCTTTTTAATCACTGTTCCATACTAGGCCCTAGCTTAAGGAATATTATGTTACCCTCCTACAGGATTAGACTTACAGCACAATCAAATGGAAGGGCAATGATTAAGTAGTCATCATTCCTCATTATATTTACCCTTATAAAAATTAAAACATAACAATATTAAGCAGCAACTTTAACATCATTTACCATACTAGGAAAATTTTGTGCATAATGAAAATCGGTGGAAGAATGTAACCTTGTGTATGTACCCAAATGCGACACCAGATACATCATCAATTTTCTGCCCGCACCTCACACACATTCCCCCAATATGACCAGGATGAGGACACTTGTTCTTCTCATTTGATGATCCTGCACAAGGAACATTTTCAAAACAAAGGAAATATAGGGTGTTCAATATTCAAGTTGGAAGATCGATTATGCAACTCAAAGAAGTTAAATTTTCCTTTTTCAAAAGACGGTGAAATAACAATATGCGACACAAGAGGTCTTTGAATAAATATGACAAACGTGAATGAAATAAACTGTCTTCAGCGGCAAAAGAAAAGACGTGATAAGAAAGAACAAGGGTAACGCACAAGGAAACAGCAAAAGAATCAAGTAATATAACATAAGAAAGAAACAGCCGATAATTCTTTTAAAGAGTTTTTCCATTATTTCACGCCATGACACCCATGTCAGGCTCCAGGACACAAGTCAAATAATTCAGTGTTAAGTGCATACACTGCAAACAGGACAGCATGGTGTGAAAATTTAGTGAGTTACTTAAACTGCTATCAATGAGATAAACATTATTGAGGAAAAATGCAGCTGATTCCTAGTAGAAGTGAACATGAAACCAGTAAACCAGTTGAGAAGAATAAAAGCGGCAAAAACTTTTTATTAAAGATGAAAATGTAAAGGGAATTTTCTCATAGCATGTGGATAAAAGGTGATCTCAGAAGAGAAAAGGAGACATAATTTTTAAGTGGCATAACGAACATTGCTAAAAGCACACTATGCAGACTAACCAACACCAGATATTTTTGTATTTCAATTTTCAGTTCATTAATAGAATTTGTCAGCTTGTAATTTCCAACTTTTACAGCAGTTACACTTAAATATGATACTTTTGGTACCATAGATAATTACAAGAAAAATCAGGAGTTCAACTAATCATGAGAACATCACCTGAAACTTCTGCCATCTCTCCTTGAGATGAGGAACTCTGTGGATTTGTTACATCTTCAGATAACTCCACCTTGCGCCTTTTAACTCTACAATATAGAAAACAAACATTCAAAACAAGCAAATTATTACCAGACATAGTAGCACTAACTGATCAACGGGATATGGCAAGATGTGATTCTTTAAACCCTCAAGAGCAGCATAAATGGTGTTGGTGCATTTTCAAGTGCTGGACTTTTGATACAGACGATGCACTAGAGACGAATAACTGCAATTCTCGAGGAAATTAAGTCTTAAAGATGCGATCTGATCGTTATTTGACTATTATTATACCGATCAAATTTAATCAACATTTCCATCTCATATCCATTAACATTCGGAAGATTTCCATTTCTTTCCAAGACAAAAAATGAAACTGAGATTTTCAATACTGGCTTCAAACTGAATGAATATGTTTAAAATGGAACGGTATCCAGTAGTTCCCTAAATCTTATCACGTTAATGCGAAGCAAGTTGGGACAAAGCAAAACACTACAACTACATAACTATACCTCATAAACAATAAGAGTAAATAAATTAGAAAAGACACCAGAACACATTTGACCTCCAAGAGCCATTGAGAACCAAAAACAGGGCAGTCAAGATTTAGTATTACCAAATTTATTCACCGAAATCTTAGTCAAATTCCAAAAAACAATGACAAAATAAGTCAGTCGTCAGCTTACATGTACCTTTGAAGATCTAAATCAAAGTTGTCCTCATCAGCAAAAGCATATTTCTGCTCCTCTTCCCCAACTTCTTTGGAATCAGCTGATGCATCAGATAACGTATCCAACTCAGCATCCAGAATCGCTGCGAAATCATCACTACTTGACGAGTGTGCTGGGGAGTCCGCTAAACTCATCTGTCATGCAGTGAAAACAAAGTTGGGAAAAAACAAAATGCCTTGGCACCCATGTCTAGTATAGAACAAATTTCATTTCATCATTGCAAGCATGGTAGACACTAGACAAAGTCAGAGGAAAAATATGAAGCCCTTTCAGCCATCAAATGCATATTTGAAGTTAACCTTTATTGTATTACTTATCTTCACCCCATCCAATGGATACACAATAAGAAATCCTCTAAGGGCCCGCAATTCATTCAACAGTCATGGAATTATACCTCCAGGCTTAACATTATTAATGATAATCATCATTCTACCTCTATCACTTGTAGTGGTATTTAGCTCAAACATGCACTACATTTCATATGGTATCCACCTTCAACATGCATTGCAACATAATTAAGGGAAACAAAAATCAAATGGAGATTTACAGAAACGTCTACTCAAAAAATGGGACCTAGAGAGTTTATCACTGGGACATTTTGAGGCTCATGTTGTCAAATATCTCACTGTGATGATTTGGTTTAACTATAAAGTAATAGCACATTGGTTTCAACTCTAGTCAGAAACCCTAGGCGCGGTGAGGATTAACATTAAATAACTTGAATCTCGGGAATGGGTGTGTCTGTTTGTTCTGATGAGGATTTATAAATTCCAACGCAAAAGGAGAAACACTAAATGCTAACTTTAGACGGATCAGCATATGCGAAGAAATTAACAAGACTGAAACAAGGACAACAAACCGTTCGATTTTGAGGAAAAAAAAAAAAAGTCTCCAACTAGCCTCTACATTCAATGTACAAACCCTTTATAATTAAATATGAAAAATGACAATAGATTTTAGGTTACCTAATTGATCCGTGGGGAGTTGGCGGCGGCGGTGGTGGTGGTGGCGGCCGAAGGCGGCGAGATGGGAAGTGCAGAGAGCAGCGTTTATCTCCTCTTAGTTAGTGAGTAGTGTTGAGCGCGGGTTTTAGTTGTACTTTCTTCAGTATTTAGTATTTACGCCCTTGTGTGGTTTCTTTTTCATCTTTCTGCAACATTCCAACATACTAATTTAGAAAAATAAAATCAAATAAAATAAAATAGATAGCTGAGTTTAAATTAATTTTAATTGGTCAGTCTCTTGAGGATGACTGGCAGTAGACTCGGATAGGGACGTAAATGGGTCGGGCCAGGTACGGGTTTTGGCATACCCGTACCCGACCCGCCTGCTAAAAAATGTACCCGTGGCTCGTAACCCAATTATTCACCACCCTCAGTCCCGTCTCTTCACCCTCACCCTCACCCTCACCCTCAGTCCCTTCACCATCACCCTCAGGCCCGAATCCCCGGGCCGCAGCACGAGGATTTGAGAAGATATGGTACAAGTGGAAAGGAGAAAAAATGAAGGAAAATTTGAGCTACACTAACAACTTCCAATTAACAGATAAAAGTGAATAGCACACTGAAATTAAGAGTCTCAAGGATGAGAAACAATTATTTTTTTAAATAAAAAATAAGAAAAATAATTCACCTCCTTGCTGTTAACAGTCAATTGGAGGCGCGGAGCAGCGATTTGGGGACGGTGGACGGGCAGAGGCGCGGAGCAGTGATTTGGGGACGGCGGACGTGCGGAGGCGCAGAGCAGTGATTTGATGACAGAGGAGACGGGCAGACGGCTGGAGTGGAGTGGTTGCCTCTTGCCTGGTTCTGTAGATTTTTAGGGTTATATTGAGCTGCCTTAATATCTTTCAGCCAGCGGGTAAGGTGAACCAGACCTATACGGAATTAACCGAATTGCTATATGTCAAAACCCCAACCGACCGACTGATGTGCTTAAAACCGAAGCATAACCGAACCGAATTATTCGGTCGGTTCGGTGGGTTAACCGAACTTTTACAAAAACAATCTTTTTAGGATTGTTTACTACAAATAAAAAAAATAAAACAATGGGTACATATATAGTATAGACTGAACAAATAGTATAAAACCCCCATTCCAGACTTGTACAAATCTCTGATTCTGTACAACTATCCAAATCAAAATTCAGAACTAAGCATTCTATTCTCCCAACACGACGAATCAGAAAAAAAATCTCACAAGCATACACGATTAACAGAATCAGTCAACATAAACATCTCACAATTCACAAACATACATGATCTTCACTACAAGTCTGGAATTAGAAAATAAAACAAAAGAAGACTTTACCTTGAATTGAGATGGAACTGAGATTTTTTGGAGGGAGACGAAAATTTGGGAAAAGACTTTCGCCCTTGTAGGGGAACAACCGTGTGCCCGGCGGAAACCTCCAAGCTCAGCGCCCTCGGCCGACGAATTGACTACCGGCGACAAGGAGGAGTCACAGACGCAGGTACTTGAACCGGAGAAGACGATTTGGTAATTGGGGGATCATATAGACTGGGGCGATTGTGGGCGGCGACGGCGGAAGATTGGGGGACGGCAGTGAGAAGAGAATAGAGACAGGAGAAGAGACCGACGGTTTTTAATCTGTACTCTGCTGTATGTATGTTTAGGGATTAGGGATAAAGGGTAGTTTATATATTTATTTATAAAAAAATAATAAGTGGACAAAAAACAAAAAAAAAAGGGGAGGAGTGGACCAAAATAGAAAGCACGTATTTAGTGAATGCGTTTTCTGTGTAATTTAATTAAAAAACGTATTCCTTAAATACGTTTTTTACATTTTTTTTACAAAAGAAATCGTATTCACGGAATACGTTTTACAAATAAAAAATTTAAAAACCGTATTCACTAAATACGGCCTTTCTATTATTGTCCACCCCTTATTTATTTGTTTCTTTTTTGTCCACAACTTTTCTCTATCTTTTTTTTCCGTAAAAGAATCTAGGGATAAAGGGTATGGAAATTGAAATATTAAATTGGAATATTATATATTATATGTAATGTATTAATATGTATATATATATATATATATATATATATTATTTCGGTCGATTCGGTTATTTCGGACATTTGAAGTCCGAAATCGAAACTGACTGAATTAACCGAACAATTAGGGGCTGAAAACCGAAAACTGACCGAGTCGGATAAAAACCGAACCAAAATTTCCAGTTCGGTCGATTTTAGTCAAATTATGCACACCTCTAACCAGACCTAGCAGGTAAATGAACAAGGTGTCTTTGTCCTTGAGTAAGGGGGTTGTTGTGACCCAATAACAGCAGCCCAGTTGTTAGTTTACAACCCTTAGATCAATTCTTATTACATAATATTTAAGGGTTCAAAATAGAGAACAAATAAATTTATTATTTTACAGCCTTTTATATTATAGCCCTTCCGCCACTAGTTGTACTCTCTTTTGTTTTGTTTTGTTTTATTTTTTTTCCTAATAAAACTAGCGGCTTCCCACTTTCCTTTCCCGTATTTATTATTTTATTTTATTTTTTTTTAAATAAAATAAAAACTTTGCATTCAAACAAATTAAGAGTTCATACATCCTTGAAGAAAGATGAAAAAACAAAAAGAAGAGAGTTCAACTCTTATAGTTAAAATTAAAGAGCAAATAAATACTAACTTGAGTTTTTTTTTTTTTCTAAATAGTAGCTGGAAAACAACATGATATCATCATCTTGAATTGTTATTTTGAAAGAGTAGCTGAAAAACAACAAGAGTATATTACAAGTCTGAAAAAATAATTTCAAATTTATCTTGCATTTCTTTTGAAATAGCCTTAATCTCATCTTCTTGGAGTACTTGTAATTAGAACTGTAAACGAACGAAAGTTCGCGAACAAAAGCTTGTTCGTGTTCGACAAAAGCTCGTTCGTTTGTTAATCAAGTCGAGTTCGAACAGAAAATTAGGTTCGTTTAATAATCGAACGAACACGAGCTCGTTCGCGAACGTTCGATAATGTTCGCGAACATTAATTTAATATTATTTTATTTTATTTTTTATATATTTACATAATATTTTTATTAAAAAATCTAAAAATAAACATATTTTTATTTTATTTTTTTAGTATTGAGTTCGAACGAGTTCGAAAGAACAAATTTCGAGTTACTCAAACATATTTAAAAAGTTTATGTAATAAATTATCCGAACACGAATGAACTCAAATTTGACGAACAATTAAACGAACGACCACGAACACGAGCTCGAACAGCCCAAGCTCGATTCAGTTTGGTTCGTTTACAATACTACTTGTAATATTCTCTTGTGTATGTGAATTTTTATTTTTTAAGAGCTAAATCGTTTTTAATGCTTTTTTTTAAGTTAATATGCGTCCAATATTTACCATGATATGATCTTGTTGTTATGACACGTGATAATAGAAACAAATTTTATGTAAGGCATGAGACGAACATAAGACATGACCACGCCTTAAAAATATTTGTTCCTTTTTCCAGCTATTGTTTAAAAAAAAACCACTCTTAGTTAGTTTTTATTTGCTCTTTAACTATAAAGAGTTAGAAATGGAATTATGAATAAGGAAAGTGGAAAGCCTGGCCTACAAAAAGGCAACATGTCCAACAACTAAGTGTAGCAGAGATGCGTATGTTGCGTTGGTTATGCGGGCACACAAGAAGAGATAGAATCCGAAATGAGGATATTCGAGATAGGGTCGGGGTGGTTCTAATTGAGGAGAAATTGGTTCAACATCGGTTGAGGTGGTTCGGACATGTCCAACGGAGGCCTCCTGATGCACCGGTGCGTAGGGGAGTTCTACAGCGGGTCGATGATGTAAAGAGAGGTAGAGGTCGGCCTAAACTCACTTGGGAAGAGTCGGTTAAGAGAGACCTTAAAGATTGAAATATCTCCAAGGATTTAGCGGTGGATAGGAGCTCTTGGAGGCTAGCAATCAACGTGTCAGAACCGTGACTTTTGCTCCTTTCTCTTTTGCTCCAATCTCTTCCTTTTGTTTTGAGCCCTTTTTGTGTTTCTCTTACCATTGGTTCTCTTGGATTTCATCTCTAACCTACCCCAACTTGCTTGAGACTAAAAGTTTATGTTTGTTATTGTTGTTGTTGGTTAGAAAATGTGTTTCTTTGGTAAATAATATTTATTGAAATATTTAATTTTAATTATAATTTGTTAGCATATTTAATTATTGTTATAATTTTTTCATTAAAAAATATATATATATATATATATATATGTATATGTATATATATGTTCCACATATCAAACTATGATAAGAAAAATACATTTTGTCAATGAATTTTAAAATATTTTATGATTAATTAATAAATTAAAAATATTCAAAAAGTTCTATTTTTATCCAATTTGGATATATATTATTTATATTTGTTCATTTATTTTGCATATTAGTACATTGAACATTTAGAAAAATTTAAGTCTCGATTTCTTTTTATAAATATTTAATAGTCGTTGGGATGTGGGTTAGCAGTTTTGTTTCGCAGGCTCTATCAAAATAATAAGCTAACAAGTATGTGGTATAATGTGTAGTAATGATTTGTCGCATTAAATTAGAATTAACCAATTTTAATTATTCCTCTTAATGCAATTTATGGGACCTCATCTAACTCAAAGAAATGTTAATGTTGTGCATTTTGAATAGTTCTAACCATGTTGGTACGTGAACTGTAATGTTATACATACTACATAGGTCCATTTATTATTTTTATTTCCATTTTTCTTTTCACAACTATATCATTACATAAACCCTTATAAGAATATGTGGTCAAATATAGTTTTTATAATATAATTCAATTTATGAATAAATATATAATATATATGATTATATAAAATAAATAAGATTTTTCAAAATTATTTATAAATGCATTTTTTGTGAGTATTATTTTTATATAAGTATTTAATATATTAATTATAAAATAAATAAAAAATTTTATTTGAATTTTTTTAAATAATTTTATTTAGTATATTTTAATCATGATTCATAATATATAATATATATTTATTTTTTATTATTATATGTTAATTTTATTTTTTAAAAAATTGATTCCTACACACATGGGAATGAGAAAATCTTTTATTTACTATGGAATGGCTAATCCCATGGATATGGGTTTTGCCATTCCCATTGGAATGGTCATTCTTCCCAAAATATATACCAATCATGGAATAAGGAATGAGTAAGGGAATGATCATTCCATTCTCATGTCATTCCTTCCTACCAATCATGCCATTAATGTTTTGGGTAATATTATTGTATGTATGATGTGCTATTAGAATATTTACGGACACCGTGTGCGATAGTTTGATGGTGTCCCCGAGATGAGCTCATGAAGGATTATTATGTTAAATCTGGCCAGTGGAATTTATTCCGACATAATAAGAATGTGATGAGTGGTATTAGTCTCGCTTAGAGATGTCGATTAATTTAATTGTCAGTAATTAAATTAATTGATGGACATTATATCATAAACACGGGGAGATAAATCGAGTAATTATTATTGGAGACTCGAATATAATTCGGTAATTAAATTGGGAGTTTATTCAATAATACTACTTTAGTGGAATGTACGGATTATTCCTATTTGGATTTGGTAGGCTTGGCCTATAGTCTAATCCAAATAGGAGAATCTCAATTTAATACCACCTTAGGGTCCCTGTTGTAGTCTATAAATACATCACATCTCTTGGGATTAGGAGATAGATCATAATTCACGAGTCACACGTTTGGGAGAGACATGTCGCCCCTCTTGTGCTCTCTTCTCTTTCTTGTGTTCTCTTCTTCTTCTCCAAGTAATCCTAGTAGAGATGTCTTCAATCTATCACCCACCACGATGATCAGATGAGATGTCGGGTCATACAACAGAAGATATGAGGTTGTCGAGCGATCTATATATATTTATCCGACCCTGTATATATATATATATATACCCTGTATATATATGTATATATATATATATACATATGTGTTCAACCCCGTAATTTATCTATAATTCGTGTGGTTGTCCGTTCTTCACGAAAAGTCAGATTTATGCATACTGGATATATTGGAGTTGACCGGCGACTTTCGGTGACCACTCTTCGGCGATTGGCGCACTTCAGGCGACCAGCCGCCGCAGGCCGCAGTTGTGACGGTGGCCCACGCGCCGCTATGAGCCACCTCAGTCGGCCTGAAGTTTTCCACGCGCGTCCAGCTCACCTAGTAGTCCAAGACGCGCAGCCCACTCTGGGTAGCCCATCGCGTGTAGCCCAGGTCCATGTAATTAGCAGCCCAGTCGTTCTGCTTCAACCCAGGTGACGGGGAGCCCAGCAGCATCACAGGCCCAACACGCGGAGGTCCAACGTTAGGCAGCCCAGAGGATGAGAAGAAAGGCGCGCGGGACGTCCAGCCCGCATGCAGCCCACGAAGCCCGATTCTTTTACAGCCGTCCAGCCCGCGCGGCCCACAGCCTGCATGCAGTCCAGCCCTCCTGCACATGCTCTGCGGCCCAATTCCTTGCGTGCAGCCCAAACACGCGTCCATAGCGGCCCAGCACGACGGACAGCCTTTCCAGACCGGCCCAGCGCACGAGAAATCGGCCCAGTGAGCACCAGACCGGCTCAGGCAGT